TATTAAAGTATGAAGATATAAACATTTTATTGAATTAAAATTTAATTTTTAAGGATTTTACCTTTTCCTCGCCGATTAGCACTTTAACACAAGGAACACTATTATCCTCCCATTTTCACTAAAAAATCTTTGAAAAAGCATAAATTTTTAACAGACACAACAAATTGATTAAAACTACTTTTACGGATTTTATCGCGCTTATTTATTTTATTTTTAATACAAGTAAAATAGTGTCTATCTTTGTAGGTCATTAAGCATAGTGCTTAGGTCCTCCAGCGATTCTGCTACTGGAAGGGCTATATCGTTGGCAAATTGAAGGTGAGTGATGTACTCACCATTGATGTTAATACCGTATCCTTTCTAGTCCAGTAGCTTGAAAACATCTTCCATTGCAGCGGTGAAGAGTTTCGGGCATATAACGTCACCCTGTCTTACACTTCTCTGCAATTGGATAGGTTTTAAACTTTGTATCTCTACTCGAATAGTCAACGTAGCCCTACTGTACAAACACTTCAGCACCTCGATATACCGACAGTCAACTTGGCACCGCTGAAGTGACTGTAGCACCGCCCAAATTTCAACGGAATCAAAGGCTTTCTCATAGTCCACATACGCCAGGCAAAGTGGCAGATTGTACTCTTCGGTCTTCTGTACAATTTAATTGTAATGTAATTGTAAATGAAAAAGTAAATATACTGTAATTCCATTCCCTGCCCTCCTTTCCAGGGCCCTGCCGTTTTTAAGGTGCTGGAGAGCCATTCTAATCCCACTAAGACTGACGTCTGAGTTATCATCGGCATAGTATCGGATAAGACTTCCTCTTGGATCGTTACTTACACTTGCGTGCGGATCCAACGAAGATGTATGCAGCTGCCCATAGAACCTCTCAATCTCACTCAAAATCTCAGGTGTCCCGCAAACGACGCCACCACACTCAGTTTTCAGCTTTGACAGTTGGCTCTTTCTGGCAGGCAGATCTCTGGCAAAGACTTTATATCCCTGGTTCTCTTCAATACGAGCAGTATTAAAGTTGCTAAGTCCCGCCGCATACATTTGGAGATCCGTTGTTCAGTTGCCTGTATGCTGTCAAATTTGCTGATGACTGCAGCTTCATCTCCCGTCTAACAGCCATGAGATTAAGAGTATGATCGTAAAGTTTTTGTGTTCTTCTGCGGCGAGTTTTGAAGAACCCAGCTCCGACTGCATGGACAATTTCCACGAGCTTGTCATTCATATCGTCCACTGCATTGCAATCTTCTAGGCACTGAAAGCGGTTTTGCAACTCGAGCTGAAATGTTTCGGGATTTTTCATTAGAGTACGAGGGGGACGGAGTGTTGACTTCATTAGACGAGACCTCTCCAACTTGAAGTTTAGGTTCAGTGTGCCTCTAACCATTCGATGATCGCTGCCAGTTTTCACCCATGCGATCACTGAAATATCACTGAACAGTTGCCGTCTAGTCGTCATAACGAAGTCAATCTAATTTTTTGTCGAACCATGAAGTCGGCCATCTGCTGGCCCCTTGGGTTCCGTTGCCCCCCCCCCCCCAAATTTCTCTACCTTCAGCTCACCGTTCTTTCTTGTGGGTTGTTTTGCGTTGAAGTCTCCCATTAACACCGTATAATGAGTTTTGGAGGAATGCTCTAGAAATATCCACATACATTTCCTCCACCTCCCCTCATCGGGATGTTCCGACGTTAGTGCGTAAACCTGTGTGACTATCAGCGAATACCGTTTGTGATTCTGAGCATAAGGTACGCAACCCTCGTCGACACACTCCCAATCTTTACAACGTTGTTAACGAGAGACTTGTGGACGATAAATCCAACATCTCCTTGGGACAGATCGTTGCCCTCCCAGTAATGGAACAGGTTGCCGAATTCGAGAATCACCGTGTCCTCCCCCTCTCTTCGGACCTCGGATAATCCTATAATACTCCAGCGCAACTTGTCTATATTTTCTTCCAGCTCCAGGATCTTTTCATCAGACCTCAGGGTGCGTGCGTTATGTGTTGCCAGTTGTATTGTATTGTATTGTTGGCAACCGGTTTTTTTTTTGTATAGTTGCTGCTATCGGGAAGATTCTGCTGCCCACGGGAATATATGGGGTAGTGGATATTCTTGACCGCTATTACACAGCAAAGAGAAGTCTTACCAGTTAGAAGTTTTACCAGCTAGACTAGTTTAGATACTTTTGCTATTTCCATAGTATCGTATGGTATTCGCTATGGCGACACGCGACTGCCTCTAAAATTATATTTGTTTTACAAAAGGTCATTAGAGCAATATGTGATTTAATACCTAGAGTCGCTCAGAAATTTTTTTAAAGAAATTAGTAGGTATATTAACTTCGGCCTCTCAATATATTTATGAAAATGTAATGATATACATTACATTTTCATAGAATAGTTATAAATGTATTCTTTAATTATATAAGTTCATAAAAGTAGTTTTACAAAAATAAGTGATACCTATTTATTCTGTAAATACTAGGAACAGACACAAGCTAGTGGTACCAGTTACAAGACTCCGTCGAGTCAGTAATTCATTCTTTGGGCGATGTATATGTCGCAGTAAGATGGTTGAAGTCTTAATAGCACGATCTAGTAATATAACTATAAAACCTAAAGCGCTCGCTGTAAACTTCACAGTACGGGAGCAAACCGACGTTCGATCTCCGCCGGCACCAATGAAATTGTTGTCATAAACAATTTAAGGCGTTGAAGGAAAACATCATGAGGAAACCTGCACTGCCTGAGTAATAAGAGAAAAACTATTTAGAAGACATGTTAAGTTCACCAACACGCACTGGGGCTGCGCGGAAGACATTTCCCTCTCAGAAATGAGGGGAGGCCTTCACCAAGCAGTAAGATGTATATAGGCTGTAACTTTAAGTCGTAAAATAACATCCGCAAGTGTTGCGACCATGCCCAATTTTTTTCTCCAAATGAGTTAAATGCAACACCTATATATATTAAAAAAACACATGCGTTGCAGTACTGGGCGCAGACCTCGTCTTATTATAGAGAGGGTTAGGTTTGAGCAATAAGTCCACCGTCCTGCTCCAGGGGACTAATACGGACTTTACGTATTTTCTAATATTTTATTTCTCAGACATAAAGGTTTCCTCGCTATATTTTTTTAACTACCGATCAGGTGGTCAAATCAACACTTATAACTGCAATTAATTTGCTGCTACCATTCAACAGTGGATTGTGTACAGGCTGATGGTGATCTTTTTAAAGAATATCTGATGTCTCGAGCTGTTTTGGAAAATATACGAATATATACTTTAAAAAATTGTGTAAAAAAGAACACACTGTTTCTTACAACAAATTTATTCTCAATATATATAATAACAAATAATAACAGTATTTGGAATTTACAAAGATTCGCAGTTATGTTCTCAGAACAATTATTTAAGAAGGATTGTGATTACGTGCATAACATATAAATTGAAAGAAAAACATCTGTATGTTACTTTGTTGATGAACATCCATTTAATGTAAAGAAAAACATCTTTGTTTTTTTATTGATATGATTAACTTTGTTAAATTTGTTGTTAAATTTATAAGAAAAAAAAAACATAGCAACATGACCACCACTCTACCACTGTTAATGTAAATTGTATTGCTAGAAAATATTTGCAGTTGTGTTTTCAGGGAGAAAACAGACGAAGTTTTGTTGTATATTGAAGACCAAACGCCGCCCGGATATCTATAATCTTAACGCTTAGCTAATAGAAAAAATACAAAAGGAAATAGTAACGCGACATCCTTCTGAAATAGTCACGTGACTTAACGAAATATGTCATTGCTAATAAAGACAAGTAGCTAACCCCGCAGATCACTTTACTAATGCCGTCATAATGCAAAAAAATTGATCTTCACAAATTAAATCTCATTTACAAATATTTTGGTAATTTTACAAAGTAGTACGTCTTTTATATTTATTTTTAGGTAACACAGATGTGTAAGCAAGGAAATCAGTATTAGATTATTTCACCTAAATATTTTATAAAAGTCTGATTTAATGGCGGCGCTAGTTTTGCAATAACTTGACATATAATAATATATTATTTATTTATTTATATTTACTATTTTTTAAGTTTTCAATTTTCTTATTATTATCGAATACTTAAGTGTTTGGCAGAAAATTGACCGCTGACGTATTGTTGCCTCGGTTTCATAGTTTAAATAATTGATTAGTGTATTTTGATACGTAAAATTGGTGCGGTTTGGTGTACTAAGTATCTGCGCATGTGAATTATTAGTGGAAACGCAAAAACGAGTACTCCGATGTTAATATAAACCTCAAGTTATTTTGTCTATTTCGGCTGGCCGCGGGATTAAGCTGTCATTGCAGCATATTGTGAAGAAATTCACAAAATATTTTAGAGGATATTTTTTGTTACTTCACTGGCTAAAGTATAATCGTACAAGGTCATAGTCAAAGACAAATAACTAATTCTCTCATAACATACGACAGTTCTTTTTTAAACAACAAGTTGTAAAATTAAAAAATTTGTACAACCGACTTCAATACGACGTCGAGCATTAATGTATTCGAAGTCACTTAAATACGCATTATTTAAGGATAACTCAAAAACTACTGGTCTTGATCAAATTTATGTGGGACCACAAGAGAAGCACCAGTTTTCAAATATAAAAAGATTCATCAAAAAAATTCACCCCGAAAGAAGTTCTGAGGTAACACACATAAAAAAAAATCATACAATCGAATTAAATACTTCCCCCTTTTTAAGTCGATAAAAACGGAGACACCGCCCTATTATTATTTTGTTTACGTTTATTTTATTTTAATAAACATTATTTTGAACATTTCTAATTTTATATTCACAAATCATTTTACATGAAAAATATTTTAAATAAATAAGGAAACCAATTTGACTTTGGCGTTATATTCCCTAAACAAAATAAAAACGTGTTTACAAATATAAGTTATAAACATGCACGCCATCAACATAATCTAAAAACAATCTAATTTTCTTTGCTTTCACCCGGCGCGCCAACGAGAAACCAGCGAGTTCGTGCTTGCACCGCCATATTGCGTACTAGTCGCTTTTTATCGTCGAGTGACGGTGCCAAATCTAATAAAACGTCTTGTTTGTAAGGCAGTAGAAACGCTGTTTGGTATGCTTTTGCTATTTCATATAAGCACTGGAGACTTTTTATCCGAACATCCTGAAATCAATTGTATTTATACATTATAATAAAATTTAAAAAAAAAACACGGACATGGTATATCGATTTCTTAAATATACGCGAATTACACATGGATAAAACAAATTTTCCGGATTTTATCACGTTTAAGTACGATACGATATATAAATAAACGATACATAAAAGTTGAAGGTAGTCTTCGTTAACTATGACATCAGCACATCAAACACCGCAGTCCTCATCATAAACATGGGTTCTTCAAAGCGCCCGAAACGTTAGAAATTAAAAAGTTAAAATTATACGCTTACCGCGTATTTTAATCCGTAAAATTTGTATTATTCCACGGATATGGTAGTCAGAAGTTTTACCTTAATTTACTCTCATATAAACTAATTAAAAGTAGCAGTCAGTACACACTTGGGTTATTTCTTTTTAACTGTTATAAGCCAGTGTTTGACAACCCCATCTGATGGGAAATGGTGACGTAATCCAAAATGCTTTTGCTAAACTATGTTTTGAAAACTCAGCAGGCATACCACACTTTTGCCACTGGTCTCCATCACAGGAGTGTGAAATCTAGAACTTTCGAAATGATTCACGAGATCTTCCCTACATTCTATTTGTACCGGTTACACCGTATGGTAAGTGACGAGAACCGGAGCACCGTGATCTCACTAGTATAGAGAGAGTAGTTCCATTTCTGTACTTAGATGTAGGTGTCTACGGGCCAAAGCATCCACTTACCATCAAGTGGACTTTTTGGAAAATATCTCCCTATGAGGCAATCTATGGGGAGATTTATGATCAGCAGTGAACTTTTGATAGGCTCTAATGGACTGTTAGTCACACCCACGTCTATATAACAATAATAATAATGTAGTCGTTTTTTCGAACGGGCTAATCCCAGTCAGCCTTTCGGATCATCTGAGGCGACTGGGACTCCGTGACAGATCACTCCAAGCTCTAATGCAGAATGCTCCTCGATATCGCCCGCATCGGCCATCTGTTTTTATCCCTTTCCCCTTAACCCTCGGCCGTTTGCTCTCCCCTACCGAGGGCTTCCATCTGTTGGCTTTTTATTTTGTTTATGTATTTATTTTACGATATGTGTATTTATCATTTCCATTTATATACTTATACAGCCCAACCAGATGAGAAAACTATTCAAATACCCCACCATAATAATAATAATCTTTATTTACATAGTACGTAGTTAAAAATAGCCTATGAAGCCTCAGAATCCGAAACTAGCTCAATTTATTTATGTCAAAACAATTCCAGTGTGTTTCCTCCAGGTTCTTTTAATAACAGTTATACTTCAAGAATATTATTTAATAATTTTTGGAGTGCATGCCGAATTAACAATCAAGTATTTTGTTTTAGGTGTGCGTGCACGTACGCGTGCGCGTGCGCGCGCATTTTGTGGTGACTTTAACGCCCACCTAGGTGATAGTTTTTCGAAAGAATTATTAAATTTTCGTGCCGAGCAGTTTTGGTACTGTATCGATATGGATTTTCTACCTTCAAACATGTATACCTACGCGAGTAACTCACATGATGGTTGTCTACGCTGGTTCGATCACTGTATAGTGACGAGTGCTGCACGACATATAGTGGTAGATATGTCAGTTTTACATGACGTGTTCTGGTCAGACCACCGGCCATTAATTGTTAAATGTAATATTGATCTAATCAAAGCTAAATGTATATACCTATATCTAATTGTAATAAAATTGTATGGGGTGAAAGGAACAGCGTGCAAATAGAACAGTATCATAATTTCTGTAACTCAAAATTGAAATGTATAGATTTACCTTTAGACTTATGTAACTGTGCGGATAAATATTGTTGTGTGTTCAGTGTTAATCATAAGGTAGTAATTGATAAGTTGTATAGTCAAATTATATCCACACACTAATAAGTTGTATACTCAAATTATATCCACACACAGGGAAACTTCTGCTAATTGTTATGTTGAGAAATTTCGTAAAAAAAAATACAAATAAGTAACTGGTTGGAATAAAAATGTTAGTGTCTCTCACAGAGAGGCTCGATTTTGGTTTCAGCAATGGTTGTTGTATGGAAAGCCGAATTCAGGATATGTGTATGAATCCATAAAATATTCCAGTCGAGATCAAAATACTGTCAGATAATGAGCAACAAATCAAAATGCATATTATTGCAAAAAAATCATGCTGAAAAGGATTTCAACAAATTTTGAAAGAATACGAGCAAGTTGAATCCCAGGCCAAGTTTCCCTGGGAGTATTGCAGGTGTACATAACCCTGTACACATTGCTAATGCTTTTCAAAAGCATTTCAGAATACAGCCCCCTCCGACACAAACGGAGCAGGTGTTCGAAGTCGGGCAGCTTCATGGAGATATTAAAGTAAGAAAGAAAGAAAGAAAAACCTTTATTCACTGGGACTGTACACATCACAAAAATAAAATAATAAACAGTTAAAATTTAGCAGATTAATATTACAAGTGATGGGGTGTGTATCGAGCCAGAGAAAAGGTTATGACTCAGCGTAATGCTGCAGGGTAACCTACAGCGCTGATGATTCTGTCATAACCACAGATACACGTACGATCCGCCTGGGTGTATTTTATGAAATACGTTTCCATAGTAAATTAAAACTAAACGTTGCTCGTCAATATACCTATATATAATTAGTCCCACGCATAAGTACATTAGAGATACACACATACGTAGAAGACATATTGTACACATAAATTTAATATAAAAATGAAAAAATAAAAATTTCAAAATACGTACACATATACACAGACACATATATAACACACACACATACATACGTATATATACACATATACATACATACACACATTAATACATATATATATATATATATATATATATATATATATATATATATATATATATTTTTATATTCGGTAAATACATACTAAAAAACAAACATATAATGCTCAACGATGCTGGAATAAACATCTGCTCTAGCCTTAAGGTTGAGCTTTTTGTAAGTGTAATAAATGATTTTTATAGTGTGATTTAAAATTATACCTTGAATTACACTCACGAATAGGTGGAGGAATGTCGTTCCAGCACCTAGTAGCTATATATTTGAAACTACCTCTAAAAGCCGCAGAACAGTAAGTGGGGTTGGCAAGTGGGTTCGTACAAGACCTGATGTTTTGTCGATTTCTCCATATAAGTTTACTATATAAATATAGTGGCGACTTAGTTTTCACGACATCAAACAGTAAATTAGCTAGGTGTAGTTTCTGCCGCGCTTTCATTTTTAGAATGCCTGCTTCATTGAAAAAAGGTGTTACATGAGACCGTTTCGGTATTGAGAAGCAGTATCGTGCACATGCATTTTGTATACGTTGAATTAGACGTTGTGACTTTTCCAAAATACATGGTCCGTACACTGCAATGCAGTGGTTTAATTTTGATAGAACGAGAGATTCACACAGTCAATTCTTAAGTCCAGCTGAATATATTCGCGGATTCTGTATAAAACCTTTAACCTATAAAAGCAGTTGCGGACAAGCTCAAGTAAGTGTTTTTCAAAACGCAGTCTGCCATCCATAATTAAGCCGAGGTTACGAGCTTCACTTACACGCTCCAGAGGGACACTTAACAACATGATTTTAGGGTTTTGATTCTCTAAAAAAATTATTTGGTTTTTCGATCCTAAAAGCATATACTTAGTCTTTAGTGGGTTTAAAACGAGGGAATTTTTTTGTGGCCATATTGCAATTCGATTCAGGTCCTCATTGATGTTACTAATTGTAGGATGAAATTCAAGCGAATTGCAGGAAAGATACACTTGTAGATCGTCAGCATAAAGGTGGTATTTGCAAAAATGCATGCAATTAGTTATATCCGCAGTGTAAATTATAAATAACAACGGTCCTAAAATAGAACCCTGTGGGACACCTCTATTAAGTGGTCGTTGTTCAGAAACAAGGGAAGACCCATTCGGTTGATTTAATATTACTTGTTGTGAACGACCGCATAAGTAACTTAGAAACCATTTTATGGAAGATGTTACGAAACCATAAAAAGATAGCTTAGACAGCAGCAAATCTATGTTAATAGAATCAAATGCTCTTGAAAAATCAAGCAGGGTAAGGATCGTACCTCTACCAGTGTCTTGTGATGTAAGAATATTGTCAACCACGTCGAGTAAAGCAGTAGACGTGCTTCTAACTTTTCTAAATCCTGACTGTAAGTCAGGTAAAATATTGTATCACAAAACTTGATGACTTGATTATATATAATTTTTTCTAAAATTTTAGAAAGAAACGGCAGTATACTTATTGGTCTTAAGTCTTTCAGATCCTTAGGATCATTGTTTTTAGGTAAAGGACGTACGAGAGCTATTTTCCACGAAGAAGGAAAAGTAGATGATTCAATCGACTTATTTATGATTGCTGTAATCACTTTTAACGTAGCCGGAAGTGTTAAGATGATCATATCCCTACTCAATTTATCAATACCAAACTAAAATTTTCGGTAAAAGAAGTTGCATCTATTATTAGAAAAATGGCAAAAGAGAAGTCTCCCGGACAAAATAGCCGAAGCATCGAACACCTAAAATATGCTGTGGTTGACTTACCCAGGGTACTCTCCCTGTTATTTAATCTATGATTTGGTCATTCATACTTGCCTTGTAACCCGATGCCAATTATTGTGCCAATAATAAAGAATAAAACTGGTCATACCTCCGATATTTATAACTACAGGCCTGTTTAGCTGGTTACTGTTATTGCTAAAGTACTGGACATGATAGTCACTTTCGCTTTAGGTCGCACTTATCAACAGAATCCTGTGTATCAAGCACACCGTGCAGCTACTAGTACTAGTACTACATAGCAAGGAAGACGCCAATTTACGCCGGTTATTTTGATTTATCGATAGCTTTTGAATTAGTTTTGTATAATATAATATGGAAAAAACCGCAAAGTGAAACTGACTTGCCACCGGAGATCATATCGGTTTTTAGGTATTGGTACAGCAACCAAAAGAACAGTATGAAATGGGCGGTCGTGTACTCGGATGTATACGGGCTGGATTGCGAGGTGCGGCAGGGGGGTGGGGGTTGAGCTCGCCCCGCCTATCCAACCTGTATATGAACCAGCTTGTAACAACTTTGACGGTGTTTATGTAAACAATATCAGCTACGCTGATAATATGGTGCTGTTAGGTCTGTCGATCGGAGCCTTATAAGAGATTTTTACATACACGCGGGTGGTATGCTGTGGCTCGACTCATGGACTTAAATATAACGCATCTAAAAGTGAGCTAATGGTATCTAAAGCGGGTAAATATGTTATAAGAATGTGCCTCAAATAACATTATGCGGAACACCGTTAAGTTCGTTAATCGGTTCAAAATTCAAATATATGGGTCAATTGGTTCACGGATAAGTTAAATGATGACATTGATATAGAAAGAGAACGAAGGGCACTGTGTGTGCGCGGCAATATTTTGGCTCGTAGTGACCTGTTAAGCAAGTTAAACTAACGCTTTTTAAAGCGTATTGTCAGTCATTCTACACGAGCGGTCTATGGGTTAACTACACGCAGCGAGCATACAGTTCTCTGCGTGTTCAATACAACAATGCGTTTAGGGTGTTGTTTGGGTTGCCGCAGTTTTGCAGTGCATCGGCTATGTATGTCGAGGCACAAACTGATTACTTTTATACTATCATCAGCAAGAGAAAATCAAATTTTCTCATTACGTCTGGGTGTATAGCCAGTCCACATATAGAGGTGTCAGTGCTGTTATGCGATATTTTATAATCATTTGTGCTGTCTCGGGAATCGCTCAAAGATTGTGCAAAGTATCTATTAACATCTTCAACAGCATCATAGGAGGTTAGTCTGAATATTTAGCAGATTACCTGCAAAGGCTTTCTTTTTATTAGAACTTGTAGTAGATTTAATAGCTGACTACGTTTCTTTACAGGTTCATACAATTTATTAATAAAAAAAATTGTAAGTTCGTTTTAGTCTCCTCAGTAACGCGTTACAAAAGTTTCTATAACGTTTATAAGTTATAGCAAGTATTTGGTTATTTGGAACTTTCTTCAAGTTTTTATAATCGTAGTAATCATGGGGTATCCATGGCTTTAGGATTTTTTTACGCCCAGATACAGTAATAGGTACTCGTGGAGTTAGATTTTATTGCAGTTGATAACTTATCGACAAAAAGAAAAGTGAAATCTATTGATTTTAATTGCTTAATAGTCGCCGCAAAGTCAGTTTTTATAATTTTATTGCACTTCAATTGCTTCTGTTTATAGGATAGACATAGGCGAATTGAATCATGGTCTGTTACCAATTATAAAAAAAAATAATTAGTCTTACACTGTTTTGTTGGATTTTCTCCGATTTCGGGAATTATCAGAAAATCAATAAATTCACAAGTTTTTGTTTAATTTGAGAGACGAAGACAACTATAGCATGATCAGTAATTTCACCGTATTAAATTCCTAACTTACCATAGACTTGACATATGTCGACAGCTTGACCAGCCGAGGTAAAATAGTCTGTAAGCTTTGAGAAATCGTAGTGTGTTTTGTTTGAATATAATAACACAGCACGTCGAGCATCACAACAAGCAAATCCTTATTGTCATAGTCTAATGAATCTATTACTAACGAGGAAACCTGAAAATAAATTGTCAATGGCCTCATTAGTCGTCATTAGTTACTATGGGACGTAATGGAGCATTGGGCTTGTGTATTTTTGGTAACCCATACAATTTTGGTGATTTGGCGCACGTAGGTATTATCCATTTTACGTCCAGATTTAATTTTTCGGAGTGCTTCTTTATGAGGTCACTAGTTGTTTTTAGTGTGCTATTTGTTGGGTCGTTTTTAACCTTTTTTATAAGTACTTACAGCCGACAAAAGTTCTTGTATTTTAGAATTATAATCTGACGTATCCATGACTACCGTGGCGTTTCCCTTATCTGCGCGGAGAATCGTAAGTTCGTGTTTATTGCGTAGGTTCTATAACGCTATAAAAATCTTGAAGCGCGCTTCCATCAAAACATACTTCAAGCCGCTGAAGAGATTGGTCAGTTTTTACCATCGGTAAGTGTAATATCCCTCTGCAAGATGCAGGAGTGTACAAGCTTGATTGTGAATGTGGTCTCTCCTACATAGGACAAACTAAAAGATCAATAAAAACCCGCGTTAAAGAACATATAGCTGATGTGAAGAATCGACGCTCCGGGAAGTCTTCAGTCTGTGAACACGTACAGGATCGCCCCCGTCACTACATCAGATTTGATAGACCGCAGATCCTCGCTAAAGAACACCGATTCCTTCCAAGGATGACTCGCGAGGCTATTGAAATCAAAAAACATCCTAATTTCAATAGAGAAGATGGCTGGGTGCTACCATCTGCTTGGGATCCTATAATAAATAAAATTAAATCCCAACCCAAGCATACATCTGCAAGACTTCAAGATACCATAAGTTCATACTGCATAGATCGGAACAAAAGTTAAATTTTAATCTATGGTAACCGCGGTTAACTATGACATATGGACGTTGAACATCTCAGTCCTGCCCGTGACCATGAGTGCTGTAAAGCGTTCGAAACGTCGGGTATTTAAAAAGTTAAAATATACGCGATAAATTCCGTAAAAACTAGTATTATTTCAGCATAATCTTATTGGCATTATCCTTAGTCGACTCCAAAAACACCTATGGGATGAGAGGATGACTTTACCAAACGTATTTAACGATGGAATTGAAGATATTAAAATATTTTAATCAATAACTTTTCCTGTATACACAGCTTAAAAAAGATGGCATACCTGATGAACTTCATTGTTAAGTACACTCTTGGGAGTTTTCTCTATGATGTACGCCCAACTTAACAAATAGGTCTCCTTCACGTCGGGGCTCAAGGGATCAATTTTTGTTGTTAAATTAGAAAACGATTGAAACATCCTCTGCTTATAGAAAGGACTTATTCTGCAATGCTGCCTTGTATTAAGATACTCGGGAAATTCTGTCATTATTAGTCTGACAGCATCTGCTCCATGTTGAGTAAATTCTTGATTAGTTATAGCCACGAGAATCTGAAACAAATGTTTTTAGATCTTTAGAGAATAGACACAAAATTTCATGATAAAATGAGAAACTAAACTAAAACAAACATATGCCGCGAACAATTTATGTTCATAAGAGAATCAACTACCCCATATCATCCTATGGGAATCAAACAGAGAGGAAAGCCGAAACAGCAAATGGAAAAAAACAAGTGGTAAAATTAAAAAAATTATAAAACCGACTTCAATATAAATAAATTAAGAACATCATCAACGTAGTCGAAGTCAATTAAATACGCATTTTTAAGGTTAACTCAAAAACTACTGGTCAGATCGTGGTCGAACCACATGAGAAGCACCAGCTTTCAAATAAAAAAAGAATCATTAAAATCGGGAATCATCTAGGAAAAGTTCTGACGTAACACACAAAAAATACAGTCGAATTGAGAACCTCCTCCTTTTTTTTAAAGTTAGTTGAAAAAATAAACTGCGTTTGCCGAACCGCCTGCCAAGTGCTAATAATTTAAAATAAGTATAATTATTATTTTCTTTCCTTCTTTACTATTATCATCTACTAATATATATATATAACGAGGGTGGATTGAAAAGTACTCGGCCTAACCAAGAAAATAAACACATACTAAATCAGTTATATTTTTATTTTTCTACATAATCACCATCAAGTTCAATACACTTTTGCCACCTCCCCTTCCAAGCATTTGACCGTTGAAAAAAAATGATTCTTCCTTAGAGTCAAAATATGCGTCTACAGCTGCTTTGACCTCGTCGTTTGTCGAAAATCTTTGACCTCCCAAGTGCTTTTTTAGGTTAGGGAACAGAAAGAAGTCTGATGGTGCCAGATCAGGTGAATACGGCGGATGCGGTAACAGTTCAAAGCCACAGTTGTGAATTTCAGCCATTGACTGTACTGACGTGTGAACACGGGCGTTATCTTGATGAAACAGGGCTTTTCTTCTGAGCATTCCTCGACGTTTTTCTTTTATTTCCTCTCGTAAACGACGTAGTAAGGTGCAGTAGTAATCAGAGTTTATAGTCTGACCCCTTGATTTTCAAGATAATCAATCATAATCACACCTTTCGAGTCCCAGAATACTGAAGCCATCACCTTATTTGCCGACAAAATCGACTTAGCCTTTTTAGGGGGTGGTGAACCAGGTCTTCTCCACTGTTTTGATTGTTGTTTTGTTTCCGGTGTACAGTAATGAACCCATGTTTCGTCCATAGTAACAAAACGATTCAAAAAATCATCTGCATCGGCTTCAAATAACTCCAAACATTCGCGTGAAATAGTCAATCGCGTCCTTTTTTGTTCAACTGAAAGCAGTCGCGGAACCCACCTCGCAGACACCTTGTGGAAACCCAACTCGTTGACAATGATGTTTTGAGTTTGTTCATAAGAGATGCCTATAATCTCGGCTATCTCTCTAATTTTTAATCTGCGGCCTCCCATTATTAAATCAAGTACTTTTTTAATATTTTCGTCAGTAGTTGACGTCGAAGGCCTTCCAGAGCGGGGTTCATCTTTCACACTCTCTCTACCACGCTTAAATTCTGCTATCCATTTTTTGACGGATGAATATGACAGAGCACAATCGCCTAATGTACTGACCATGTCATCATGGATGGCTTTTGATGATAGCCCCTTCTTATGGAGGTACTTAATGACGGCACGCTGCTCGATTTGCTCCATTCGCGGAAATTATGTCCGATTACTTTGTTAATAAATTTATAAAATCACATCTAATTATCGCACACGTTTCGAACTTCACACAATGAACTAGTCTGAACTGAACTAAATAATGTGGGTAGATTTGATTTTTAGAATTGAATGGATCTGTGTTAGGCCGAGTACTTTTCAAGCCACCCTCGTATATATATATATATATATATATATATATAATCTACTAAATCAAATGAAACTCTGTTGTGTATAAAATGTCTTCCAGACCGAATTTGGGTCACGGCGGCCAGTCTCAACAAAGACTTGCCATCTGCGCAGGACAGGATTATACTCCCCAATGTATACGCAAGCACAGGTGCACTCTCTTTTCTCTCACTCTCATGGCACTCTCCAGTAGGACGGTAATCCACAGGGCCGTAGTGAGATCAAGGGCAGAACCAACGGCTTTACGTACTTTTCGAGGCTCGGGAGTATAATACAGTCAACTTCTTGCTTCCGAGATTCTACGATTCCACTAGAGCCAGTTATCACTAGGTATGAACATGGCTGGAGGCGGCATTTTACTATGCCCAAATATTTGGACTAAAATCGATTGTTGTAGCTTTATTGGATAGCAGCGAAGCTTATATATCTCTAGCATTTCTAATATCCATTAGAAATGCTGGAGAAGTACTAGCAAAAGCTAGTTTAAAGAATGATTTAGAGTATATATATATATATATATATATATATATATATATATATATATATATATATATATATATATATATATATGATTATTTTAAAACTTTACGTATTGCAACAGTAAAATTAGAAAAATGTGACCTGTCTGTAACAGAAACATTCGAAATATTTGATGACGTAAGAGTAGTTTTAAACCAGACATCAAACAATATGTTTGTCAACAAAATATAGCAACTTATGGATAGAAACCCTGCTTTTTACGTTCTTAGGGAAATAAGTGAAACATGGAATAAAGGAAATAAATGACTCTGGTATTTACTAATTTGCGCCACTTACTTCTGTAGATGTGGAGAGATCCTTTTGAACCTACAAGTGGACCATGAATTTGAAAAGAAATAGAACAACAAATGATAACCTCGAGAAAATTATTAATTATTGTATACTACGATTCTCTGAATAATCCTGAATTAAGAAGTTTTAATAGTCAGTGGAATCAGAAGTTACACCGTCATGTTCAACACAAAAAGATATAGAAATGACAGATTTCCAAGACACCGCCAACTTCCTGACTCCGGGCAGCTGCTGAGAAATTCTTGACGGAAAATTGATTTTTTGGCCCGACCCGGGATTCGAACCCAGGACGTCGTGATCAGCAGTAACACTACTACAACCACTAGACCAACGAGACAGTCAACCATAGTTATAGATAGTGAAGATAATGTCACTGGGGTAATCTTTAATCTTTAGCCACACAATGCTGAGTCTTATATATCACTTCGTCTTACGTTTTATAGGTCTCTTTCAAATCTTTCCACATTTATCTTGATGCCACTATAATAGTGAAATACAAAATGTACTAGTTTTAAGTTTTTATTTTCTTCATATTAGCTATGTAAGAAGTGCATGTTATGGCCACTTGTTGTAAGTAAAACAACACAATAACTTAAGCGACATTAATGACTTGTTGGACAATCATTTATACTTATATTGTTCAAAGTTCCATGTACTACTTTTCTATCATTCATTTCTCTTCTATGTATTTTCTGTGTGTACAACATAAAAAATATTGTGTAAGATGTCCTGAATGAATAAATAAATATATATTAATTTATGTTTTCTTACTTACCACACCACCACATTTCTCTTACACCTTACATACACACATACTCGAATGAGATATTAAAATTTAACTAAGTAAATATACATCTGATTTTGTTAGCCTAAAATAACTTTAGGTAAGATCCATCAGATTATCCGATCTCTAGTCGTGACCGTTGTGTATAAGGTATAATAACCATCATCATCAGGCCGTAAAAAATCACAGCTCGACGTTGGCCTCTACTGCTAAAGAGAGGATATACTATTTTTTTTGAAGTGAAAACTTCTTTATCGGCGTTGTACACTTTTTTGTAATGGGTAAAAAATCTTAAACTCGCGTCAGGACACGTGACCCTGATCGAAAATTCGTAAGACGGATGGAGAGAGAGAGAGACAGCCGGCGCGGCGTAGGAGAGGAAGTATCCCCCTCTCTTTCCACGGCGCGGCGAAAATGTACCTATGCCTACGCCTGCTGTTTCGTTTAGGCGGCGTAGGGCGCTTGCGCGAATGTACCTAATATAAATTGTCATGTTTGTGTACGATAGCGCAATAAATAAATATTGTATTCTACCACATAAATGATAGTACTTTTATACTGATAATTAAAGCAATTCGTGCAAAGTTATTCCCTTACCATTCAAAAATATCAAAAATGCACAACATTAATATTCAAGTTTTTACTTCTGCCGGCACTCCCGGAGTGCAACCCATCGTTTTTCTATTATCAAAAGTGAATCTCATCTTACCTTTTCCAACCAGAATAGGAAATGATCATTGCTCCTCAAAACTAACGCTTTGGTTATCCACCCATACAGCTGTATCAGTCTTGGACATAGTGAAATGTCGTCTCTACTACAAGATGACAGATAATCTTGAAGCAACTCATACAGCAACTCAAATTTTTGACCATAGTCTGCCTTGTTTAAAAAATGCGCAATCAATATAGATGCTTTCAATCGTATTGTGACATTTTCACTGTTCAGCGACAGAATTAAGGATAGTTTCATAATTTCTTCAAATCTAACATCATTAACGTTTTGATGAATTGATATGTATAAACTTTGTAAAATCAAAAAGAATATTTCATTTGATTTGCATAGGTTTAACAAATTACTTGTATGTCTTGAAAGTATTAGCTCCTGTTTGTCAGGAGATAAACTACTTATTGTATTAGCTATTAATATAAATCCATGATTAAATGTATCCTCGGATCCTCTTTGAATTTCACTCAATAGCCAGTTCAGTACAGAATCAACTAATCCATGGTCACTTTCAATTTGCGTAATTTTTTCGTTTGTAAATAAATTTAAATCAGATATGGAGTCATTAAGTGCTTCAACGATTTTTGGAGCAGTGTGATCATTAATAGAAATTATTTTCAGCATCTCTTCAATGATTATTTTAGTAAAATCGTCTATGCTAGCGAGATTTGAAAGCAAATTTAAACGCTTCTCCAAGTTGTTTTTATCCGCAATTAAATTATCTAAATCACACTTCCCTTTTACAACTAAATCCATTATCATCTCCGGATGATATCTAGCAATCGCATGAATGGTTTCAACACTTATCTTTAACAAATCAATATCTTGAGAATGTTGTATTATGTAAATTAAAACCTCAACAAATGGCAACACTAAATCATCTTTTAAAATATCCCGTACTTTAACCAAGGTTTGGAAGCCTGCAATCTGATATTCTTTTGAAGGCTGGCTTACAGCTACTAAGCAAAGCTGAGGAATTTCATTGACTTGAGCTTTCACCTCATTCAAAACATTCCAATGTTTTGTTAAATCATACAAGTCTCCTAGAAACTTCAGGCTTGCAATTTGCAATTTATTTGATGTCTTAAATTCATAATAAGCTACTATTGCAGGAATCATAGAATTTGTGATCATAATGCATGATTCCTTTGAAGCATTTGCCGTAGTAAGTAATATTTTTGTTGCTTCAACAAATTGTGATACAGTAGCAGAACCAGCCAAAGCTGTTTGCATTGAAATGAGTACTCCTTTTACAAAATTTTCAAATTCTTGATCTTTGTTAGATGTTGTCGCTAATTTTCGAACTAAAGCTGATAATGCCTCGTGAGCCACCATTTTTAACTCATAGTCCGTTTTATGAGTAATCTCTCTATGTATGGAAGCCCACAAAGTCTTTAGGAAAGGACCATAGCTCTCAGCTTTAAATGTGTTACAACTTTCAGTCTGAAAGGAAAAAACTGCTGTTTATATTATTTTTATTCTTAATATGAAAAGTGATATCAACGTGCACCTGCAACTATCTGCATTATGATTCTTAATCTAAGATAGAAAGTAGCTGTCTATGAACAACAGCATTTACCTACCCTCAGATAAACTATTTATCCTGTGTAGTGACGGTGTAAGAATATCCACTACCCCACACTATCCCATGGGTGTCGTAAGAGGCGACAAGGGGAAATTAGGAGATCCTTCTTAATAATGACTAAAAATAAAAATCTGCAGTTGCCAACCTGCTTCCCAAGCGTGGCAACTATGGAAAAAATCCCCCCATGAAACAATCTAACGGGAGGCCTATGTTCGGCAGTAAGCTTTTATAGGCTTTTTGTAATGGATCATCATCATCATCATCATTAGCTGCTAGCTCTTCTCTTGATATATTTCGGAGCAGAGTAAAGAAATATTATCTGTCAACTTAGAATTATAAATATTTACATATTTTATGTATTTATATGTATAATTGTATATATATGTATGTGTGTATGTATATATATGTATATATATATGTATATATATGTGTGTGTATATGTGTATATGTGTATATATGTTTATATTTATTATCTTTATTGGTATATATGTATGTAAATTAATAGAAATAAGAATAAAAGGAATAAGAAAATAAATTATACTTATATGTTATACACTTATATGTTAATTGTTAACTGTAACTTATAGCCAATTTCTATTAAGTAGCGTTATGTTAATTATTGAGTACGCACGCTGCTACCTACTTGCTTTATATATAAAACTATTTCTCTTTCCCAATAGGTTTGCTGGAAGAGAACTCTTATTAGGGTTAAGCTCGCCTTTGTACATTTATTTAAATATTTAATAATTGTTACCAACTTATTGTGTGTACAATAAAGAATAAAGAATAAAGAATCATTACAGTCCCTTCACAAGTCCACTGCTGAACATAGGCCTCCCCCAAGTAATGCCACAAAGCATGGTCCTGAGCCACCTGCATCCATCGACTTCCTGCATGTCTTACCAGGTTGTCACTCCATCTAGTGGGGGGTCGCCCTACACTACGCCTACCGGTACGAGGCTGCCACTTGAGAACCTTTTATTCCCCATCGGTTATCGGTTCTTCGAGCTATATGGCCGGCCCATTGCCACTTCAGCTTACTAATCCGTTGGGCTATGTCGGTCACTCTGGTTTTATGCGGATATCCTCATTTTTGAGTCTATCACGCAGAGAAACTCCGAGCATAGCCCTCTCCATAGCTCGCTGAGCGACCTTGAGCGTCCTCATACGGCCAGCAGTGAAGAACACGTCTCAGATCCGTAAGTCATCACTAGCACTAAAGTGTACAACCAGTGCGTGTTGCCAGTGATGATGTAAAGTGAATGATATAAAGTGTTTGTAATGGATGAGATAAACTATTTGCTCCTTTGTCAAAATCCTACTTCAGCAAAAATCACAGACTACTAAAAAGATTTGAAGTAGCAGAACCACACTGCAGCTATATTATAGCTGCAGCCCGAAAGAGTCATCTTCACCAGGGCAGGACCATGCTCTCACAGAATACCAGCGTGAAACAGCAGAATGATGCTGTTTTGTGTAGTAAATGTAGTGAACTGAAAACCCCATTAGGTGGACTGTGTGCTTGCTTATCACCTTTATTCTATAAAAAACACCCAAAAGATCAATTTGGTTAGGGTTATTTTTCAAACAGTAGCCAAATTTTAAACTTAAGTTGAAATATATAAATAGTTATTGCAGTTTTTGAAAAATGAGTAAATAAGGCTTCTACTTCCATTTGGAATTATCCCAAATTGAATGTGATTTATGGGCAATAACATTTTTGCCTACCAATCGACAAATCAGTTAAAATAATGATTACCATGCATTTTGAATTTAAAAAATAAAAAGGACAGTGTTTGAGATTTGTTTTAATTAATTTTTCTTCACCATTAGCCTATATTACTTACTCTGAACCTTCTTTGGAAAGATGATGAACTTTGTTCCATACAAGCTAGGGCCCAGTGTGAACAAAATTCAAATATGTCTTATTTTGCAGATTTGAGCATTTGGACCTGGGGTTGTGCTTCTATTTTCTTTTATGTTTTGTAGTTTATGTAATTAAATCACTCGTTTTTGTGAAAAATTGCTTAAATAAATTGAAAAGGACACAAAAAAATGCAGCTTTGTGATTCTTATTAAATAAATTAAAATAAAACTCAATAAAATAAATGAATATAATCCATAAATACGAAGATCCCGAGTAAAATGAAGACATAGCTTAAAGGACAAGCATCCAAGCCAAAAATCTTAATCAAAAAGCCGTCATTAAAGTACAGAACATATGTAATAATGTTTTGTTTCTGCTGTAGTATGTAAAAGCATTAGCTTTAGTTTTTTAGTTTAAAAAATGTTTTTATGATTGTCCCAAGCACTACAGAAATAAAAACCATTTAATTATTCTAATAATTTAACATTTTATTTACTATATATTTTTGTATAACTGTTTCGAACGATGTCAAGCACCCAATTTCAGACATCTCCTTTATCCGGTAATTACAAAATAACCCTGTGTAACCCACATATTTGATTATGATTATCATTCTACCACTATGAAGCAATCTATGGAAGAGGTCTATATTAGGAAGTGAAGTTTTGATAGACTGTAATGATGATGATTTGAATTTGATACTCACCAATAATTTCAACGAATCTATTTTGGCCTGTCTTAAACTGGAATCCAATTTTTCAACAAGAAGCACTAGACAATGCTCAGCAAATTCTGGCACAGCACAAAGACAGGGAGTTAATGCTGTAGCCAAATCCTCTCTTGTAACAGCAGCAGGATCATTTGGAGATGGATGAAAGTCAATTGGGTAATAACAAGAAATAACATCAAACATCTCTTCAGTTAAATGGCCTAAAGGCACCTCTTTCAGAAAGTTTGGTAAGATGTTAAAAAGGAATAATAAATTTCGAGGATCTCTCTCGCCTTCAATGGACGATAGAACACCGTACACGAAATCTGGGCCTAAGGATTTCATATCTGGAATGAAAAATTACATTTGAAATATAATTTATGATTATGCCTGATATGTGTTGTTAATTTTGACACATGCAATTTTGCGTTTCTTAACATTTCACTAATTTTACAACTTTTAGAGCTAAGGCTCCAAAAGTTGACTACTATGGTAGATCAGTGGTTAACACTCTCTTAAAAATCCCAGTACACAAGCAGCCAAGTTCAATCCTAGCTGACATCAATGAAATTATTAATTGCAAAAGAGTAGTGCATACAATTTATAATTTTCACTCTTGTGATTCTTTAAGTAAATTATTAATTAAATTCCACCTTTTTTTCTTATTCATCAAAAAATACAAAATTGAGTAAAAGTAATTAAAAACACATCGCAAATTCGCTTCAGAAGCCCTGGGATTAAGTAAAAAGTACCCGGTTGACCGAGCTTTGCTCGGTATTTATTGCTCGATTTTTTTTAATTCGTGTGTTTTGGAAATTATATTTAGATACAAATTACATACTGATGAAATATAAATAATATTTTTTGATCTTAGCGACATAACAGAAAAAACGGAACTGGTTAATTGAATAAAAAATCATGTGTGCAATTATTTTAATTTAAATTTTTGTGTTTTTAAAAAAATACTAAAAAAAAGGGCTCGAAAAAATAGATTTTCTCAAAAAAGGAACTTGAAAAAAAAAATTAAAAAATGGTCGGTCTAGGATAGAACCGGGGTCTTACGATTCTGTGACCGCCCATTATACCAATTAAGCTATTTATAATCATTAACAATCTGTCAAAAGTTACCTTCTTATTCTAACGATATTGTAGCAGTTTTTCATTGCCTAAAAACACGGACAGACATTTTCTAAAAATACACTAAATTTTATGAAAATCGTTGGAGCCGTTTCCGAGATCCCGATTATATATATACAACAAGAATTGCTCGTTTAATAGTATAGGATAAATTACGCATTCTGGCAAGAGCCCTAACTGGACACTGTTGCCTTAAAAAGCACATGTTCATCCTGGGACTAAGCAACTCAAGAATGTGTCGGTTCTGTTCCATAACGGAAGAAACGCCTCTACACATCCTAACTGATTGCGGACCCTTAATGTACAAACGTAACATCTGGGAAACTATGTACTCTGCCCAGAAGAAGTGAAATTGCTTACGGCTAAACAACTCCTTCTATTCATTGAAGACATAGGGCTTAGCTGTGAACTATTGCCATAGCAGGGATCACAATAGATCTTCTAGGATGCAGTGATACTGTTCTCTTTCCCTAGACCTGCATAGCTGCTCGCACATAGTAAAAAAAGTAATTAAAAAGATATACACTGCATAGTGGCACCATAACTGAATCCACTACTATCCAAGTATCCTGTGGGTGTTGTAAGAGGCGACGTGTATAAATGAAAAAGGCCTTGGGCAGCAACACCTTCCTGACAACAACTTAAAGTTACAGCCTAAATATGTTCCACTGCCAGACATTCTCTTATTTCTGACACATGTTTAGAGCAAGGAAATGTTTGCAGTGCTGCCCCAATGCATGTTGGTGATCTTCCCATCTTTGAAATAGTGTTTTATTACTTCTCCTCTCCATGCATGTTTCCCTACAATGTTTTCTTTCACCATTGAGGGTGTGGTAAATCAGCAATCAAAATTGCAATTAACAATTTCATTGGTCCCTGAGCTGTCACGGCTCTGATATATGACAACAACTTTAATAAAAGTTAATATTTGCAAACCCCTCCTACCAAGTGTTTCATAAGGCAAATATCCGTCCATATCAAGCATCGTCTTATAAGGAAAACTATGAAAATGTCTAGTTTCAAGCAGTGGGCTGTTGATAAGCAGTAATGAAAGAATGAAAAAAATTAACAATCCTAAATTTAGACCAACAGGAGTAAATAACATAAAAAAAACACAGTATATTATGATTTCTTGCAAAATATATGCCTCATTGATAGAATCAGGCGTTACTTTGTGGAAATTCAATATAATAAAGATTAGTATCTGATTAATATATGAAGGGACCTAATACATGCAAGATTTTTGCTTAAAAGGTGTCTTCGATCAGTATCTGTAAATGTAGACAATATGTTATCGAAATAAATTATATTATTATTATTATTATAATATCTCATTTGCAACCATCTGCATTAATTAAATACAATGATGTTGTCTTACCTGGATTGAAGAGATTCTCTTGTGAACATACAATGATGTTGTCTTACCTGGATTGAAGAGATTCTCTTGTGAACATACAATGATGTTGTCATACCTGGATTGAACAGATTTTCTTGTGAACATACAATGATGGTGTCTTACCTGGATTGAAGAGATTCTCTTGTGAACATACAATGATGTTGTCTTACCTGGATTGAAGAGATTCTCTTGTGAACATACAATGATGTTGTCTTACCTGGATTGAAGAGATTCTCTTGTGAACATACAATGATGTTGTCTTACCTGGATTGAAGAGATTCTCTTGTGAACATACAATGATGTCTTACCTGGATTGAAGAGATTCTCTTGTTAACATACAATGATGTTGTCATACCTGGATTGAAGAGATTCTCTTGTGAACATACAATGATGTTGTCTTACCTGGATTGAAGAGATTCTCTTCAATCCAGGTAAGACAACATCATTGTATTTAATTAATGTGGATGGTTGCGAATTAGATATTAATCTTTAAATATAAGCCTTTAAAATTTAAATTTAGAAATTATATAAAATAGACAATGTATATTTTAATGGAATTCAATACCAAATTATGTGTGACAACAAAAATGGGTAGATATTAGTTCAATTCACATCATACATAGGTCTTTATGTTGTAATACAAAATGTACATAGTAAATGGTCCCCTAGATGGAAATAATAAGAATGTGGTAAAACCATGTGCCTTAATTATACATGGCAGAGCCAAGCTGCAGCTATATTATGGTTGTAGCTTGAATGTGTCGGCTCGACTGAGGTAGGACCACACTCTCACAGAATACCAGTGTAAAATTGGTTCTTTACACACCATACCAAATACAGCAGCATGAAGCTTCTGAGACTCTTTTTACTGGAAACAAGGCATTCCATCTTAGTCCTCAGTGGTAACAATGCATCTGCATTTTGATTCTTAATGGAGAATAAATGTAGATGTCTATAGGTCACAGCATCCACCTACAATAAGGTGGAATGTGTGCTCGTTGTCACCACTATTCTACAAAAAAATGTTCATAATAGTGTATATGTCACTATTTACAGTTATATTTCTGTGTGTATCTTATTAGAAAAACATATTTTAATTACTTAGGGTCTGTTTCTTTTCATTTTTGACTAAAAAATATTATACTTACCTGTACCATTACAAAAATGGAGATACCAACAATGTTAATTTTTACCCTTTCTCCTTACGAATTCTTGAAGCCTGCCAACATACACTGAAACAGCACCGGACAGATGCTCCATAATCCTCTTAAAAATAAAAGGAGGCCTGTGCCCAGCAGTTAAATGTATTTAGCGTATCATACCGCCGGGGTCTAGCATACTCTTGATGTTCACAAATTAGCACAAAGATGGTCTACGTCTAATTAGGAGGGTAGTGAGAGCGGAGCATAGTTCACAATGACCTTTTTTATAGAAGTGAGGATGATAAACTAACACACAGTCCACCAGAGAGTAAGGTAACCATCTTGGTAAATTGAAACTTCATAATATGTCCTTATTAGTACCCGCCAAGTGTTAGCGAGCTTAGATCCAATATTCTTGTGTAAGATTTTTTATGTGCTATTTAAATGGATACTATAGTTTACATTTGGAAAGAAGTTGAAATGCCCCCTTACACTTCACCGAAAAGTTAGTAAATTATATTAAAAGCTGTTTTTTCTTCCACTATAAAGCAAAGTAAAAATTAACATTACTTAATCATACTTACATTCTGCATCTCTCTCTAATAACTTCTTTATAATTAAATAAATGTGATATCTATCTTGCCTCACTTGTGACTGACAGGGGACTTCCCTGAACAATGTTGTAAGGAATTCTCCACTATTTTGTATAGAGTAGTTCTGCATATCAATTATTGCTAAGTAACCTTCTAAAACAGCAGGAATCACTCTATGGTTATCTTTTAATCTATCTATATAAAATTTAGATATAAATTTTACTTGTAAATCTGTTAAATAATCTTTAGGCAATTCTGTTAGTATTTTCGTGAAGAACCTCATTCCTTTTTCTCGATTTTCAACCTCTTTGTTGGTTAATACATCAGCCATATTTTCAACTAGTTTTGTTATATCTAAACGTCCGGATACAATGTCTGTAACGTAATTTTAACAACAAAATTAATATATTCAATTCTGTAACATAATTTTAACAACAAAATTTATATAACAACAAAAGTAATGGGTCGGCTTTAGTAATCTGCTGCACGATTTAAGTGATTATTTTAGCTTTAGTTGACAGGCAATGATGCTATTGATTACCATTTAGCTCCTTTTTATGCCGGAAATCTTTATTTTTCGAGATATCGATAGTTAAAGTTTTGAGATTATATCGAGTTGGCTAGACATCCGGTACTTGATTTCTATAATGTTTTTAGTCTAGGAGGCTTGTTAGGGTTAATCTTAAACCTACTACACTATTTTAAGATGTCGGAAATGCATTTTGAATTAATGACGATAAAAACAAATTTCACCAAAAATAGTGTAAAAGTCAATTTGTTCTCGTATTATGAAGTAGATTTCCGATACTTGATTTTTTAATTATGTTTTCAATTTAGGAGGATTGTCAGGGTTAAGCTCGAACCATTTAAACTGTTTTTGGATTTCGGAAATGCTTTTTGAATTAATTACTTAAGTTTTAACACAGATACACTCATAAAAAAGTTAATCACTCGGACCCAGACAATCCATATGTTGTGGTGGAGATGGGACTTATATACAACAAATTGAGTTGCAGTGGAGAGCAGTCAAGAGGTTTATCCGAAAACAAAATTTATAACAATTCACATTACATTATTTCATTTACCACTCTAGTAGCAGAGTTAAGAGCAACTAGACTTTGTAGATAAAATAGGTCGAATCGGTTCTAAAACCGAATTAGCACACCCCGACTCCATGTAGTCTTGTCTGCCCTACCCCTAGAGTGTTTTTGTAAAGCCGTAGGCACGGAGGGGAGAGCAGCCCCCCGCCCGCTGTAGGAAATCACAGCTCGCCTCCGCAGCTTCGGCTTGTTGGTCGCCTTCGGCGACCAGCCTCAGCCGCTACGGCTCGCTTAGGTGCCTGTGATTTGCTACGCAAGGGCAAAGGGGCTGCACTTCCCGCAGTGCCGAAGCCGTTGCAGAAGTAACTGCGTCAATATTCCTGTATAAAAAAATGAGGTTATGATTTTACAAAAAAAGGGGGGTTTCTGGCACTTCCCCCTTTTAGAGCGAGGTTCCCACCCCAGTCCCCCCACTCGGTGACCATATATTCATGCGGCAGATTACTAAAAAAATTCATAAAAAATGGGGGGGGGTTTCCGGCACTTAATTCTTTTAGGGGGAGGTTCCTACCCCTCCCCCCATCTACCCGCCCACTCGGCGACCAATAATTCGTGCAGCAGATTACTAAAGAATTACCTTATAAGGATTTAAAATTTTATAGATTGTTCAAAAAATTGTTATGTGCATACCCAAGATGACGTTTTGTGTTTTATCAAAAATAGTGGGATTTAGCATTATTTCGCAGGCTAATTCACATTTATACCAAATAGATTCCATTTTGTATACTTAAAACCACTTGATAAAACAATTTTCTTGAACGAATTTCTATGTAAACATGAAAATTTAAAAAAATCGTATAGACCGATATAAAGCCATTGGAGTACAAAATTATTATTTTATTTCAAATCAATTTTTTGGTTAAAATAACATATTAAAAGTAAAAAACGAAGTTTTTCAATAATATATTCGTAAAAAGAGTAAGAGGTTATATTTTCATATTTTTAAAAATACACACATGATGTATTTGACCATAGTCAATACATCTTACAGCCACTACTGTCAAATATGATAATTTGAGTTTGTACCAGATCACATATTATTACATTATGCTTGGTAAATCCTTGCTGCAGCTATAGTAGTATAGACGTAGCACGAATGAGTCGGATTCACCGGGGAAGGACCACGCTCTCACAGAATACCAGCATGAAATAGTAGCTTAACGCTGCTGTATTTCGTATGGTGAGTGTAGAGATTAGAGAACCGGAGACCCTTAGTCGTGTGCCGCGCTAAACTCGTCTTGCGTCTAAGATGAGCGGTAAAAAAACCAATACCAGACGAACCACGCCACGTGCCACTTTGGCGCGTCTGGCATGCACATCAGGCGACCGCGACCATTGGAGGCACAGTAAGTATTCGCGCTTCCAAAACCATTTAAAACTTATTGTGACGGCCCATCATTATTATTGGGGGGTATCAATATAGTTTTCTCATCTGGTTGGGTTCTATAAATATATAAATATAAATGAAAATGAAAAGATAAATATACATAAATATCAATAACATAAAATAAATATAAAAATACATATATAAATAAAAGCCCAACCAGATGGAGGCCCTCGGCAGGGGAGACCAAACGGCCGAGGGTTAGGGGGAAAGGGAAAGAAACCGACGGACGATGCGGGCGGTATCGAGGAGTTGCTCCTCGATACCGCCCGTGTCGGCCTGATTCGGTGCTGGGCCCGTTCCACTTACCATTGGTCGCTCCAATGATTCATAGAGCCTCTTCTGATCACTCTGAAGAGATGATTCTGGTTGAACCGTGTCGACCTCTCGGTATATCGCCGAATCCGCTTTCCCCAAGCAGCGATTCTCTGCTTCAGATCATCTATGCGCTCCGTCAGTTTTTGCGTTATATCCGGCTGGTAGAAACTGACATTTGTCCCAGCAAACGCCATCCTGACAGTGTGCACAATTCTTGGCCTGTTATTGCCTGATCTGAAGCATATCAGTCTGCCGACGAGAGCTTTTGCGATACGTTCCTCAATTCTTCTTCTCCATGCTGCCGTGGAAACCTTGACGCCTATGATACGGCAGACTGCCAGCGCGGCGCCAAAAAGAATTGAGTCCGTCTCACAAAGGTCCCGGCTGGCTTCCAAATAGGTCACCAGGATTGCGTTCAGAGCCCTCACGACAGCCCGATTCCGCTTGCTTAGGGCTATGCGGGGAAGTCGCGGTCGATTTTCGAGAGGCGTACTGCGCGTTTCCACAATCGCCTCTTCCAATGTACTCCACATATGCTCTAATTCCTGTCCCTGGGCGACTGTTCCATCATCGTTTGAATCAACCACAACTGGGGTATTCACGGCGGCATCAACGTTTGCGGGTTGTTCTACAATTTATGGCGCCGCATCCTCAGCCGTAGCATTTTCATCCGATGAGGGAATAGCCTCACGTCGTAGCCGTTTGAGTTCGGCGAGATCAAATATATTTGAGCGCAAGATATACCGAACTCAGTCTGCCAGGTTTTGCTCTTTGACGGTTAAAGATGGCTCCAGCTCAGCAAAAAGACGATGCATCCTAGCCCGATACGCCAAACATCCAGTTTCTTCCCCTTTTGCCCTAAAGTACGCCCGCAGTGCGTTTGCGTTCATTGCTTGTGACCAACGCATGCGACGTGCTCCACCAGCGGCGGGTGCCGCTTGCTGAGTCCGAGAAGACCCAGCCGACACCAAGCCTGCTGGTGGGGATGATGGATGCGTAGGGCTGCTAGGTGACCGTGCAGCTCCTCGCGCTCGGCTGGCGGTCCGCATGCTGCCGCGTCCAGCGCCAGCTCCAGACACGCCCCGGCGACCCCCAGGCAGCGGCCCTTTGCGCACTATCTTTTTATGCATCATCCATTATTTGGGCTTCCATTAACGGGAGACGCCCAGGCCCGGCACCGTATCGTGTATGGCCATAAGCACAGACGGGCCTTTGCACCCTAAATTCTGCCGAGGCACGTCGCTCACACCTCTCGCAAGGCGCTGACTGACTGCGTTGACGGAGCAGTTTTGTCAATCATTCCCACGCCCTACGCCAATTCATTATTATTATTATTATTAATTAATAATCAATTTCTATATAAGGGGGCATAAAAAAATAGTCTTAAAAGATATATTGGTTGCGCGGAAAACCATTCGCGTTTTTTATTTGACGGTAGGAACTTGTAGAATCATTATTCCTTTCCAAACAATATCATTCGTACCCTCCTATCGACACATCGGGGTGGTGGGGTGGGAGGGGAAAGAAGACGATTCTAGAACATCGCGTAATCACCCGAGCCGAGGATATATAAGACACGCGCGACCGATGCGCGAGCCTCTTCTCCCGCCGCAGTCGTCGTTGAACCAACGCTTCTCTCCTGACGCACCACTTGGGCCCCAGAAGTGTCTGTCCCGAGGAGGTTCCGGAAGTCGCCGCTATAGTGATCGACAGGAAGAAGAAACCCCGGTGAGTCAATATTCCTTAATTATACCTGCTTGCTAATAGTTTAACCCGCTCCAATCTGTGTTTTTTTTCCTAGTCAAGCAGGATTCCTTTCATCGATTCGACAAGTAATAGTTTAGTTTAGGGAAGAGCGAGTGCATTGTACCGCATGCTATAGTAGTCGCTTTTACGTAAGCGTAGAAGCAATCGCATATACAGTCCACTTTAGTTAATATCTCGCGTAATAGGTTTGAGGTTTGACCGGGGAACTAGATTTTCGGCAGCCTTAAACACGTGGCTCCACCATTTTATGGTCACTTCGGCAGGATCTGGATTGGTGTTTAGTGGTTATCCAACCATTTTCTGGTCGAATTATTAAATTAATTGTTTATATAACGCACTCTAATTTATAGAATAGACTTAAATAGTGTTCGTTTAAATTAAAATTTTGATTTGTTACTCGCAAACAGAATTATTCATTTAATAGCGCTCGTATTTGGTTAAATTTAAAGCTTATTAAATAATTGAAACGGCGTGATAGCAACCGTTTGATACGCTTACCCCACAATTTTATAAAATTATTAGGTTTAGCAAACGACGCGTAGCCTTGACTGCATCGGGCGCTCGATCTGATTACGTAATACGGCACGCCGAGTATTCATCCTACGTCGTTTATGCGTGTGAGATTAATTGTGATTAATATAACTTTATTATAATAATTTAAAATGGCAGTTAGTGGAAGTGAAATCAAAATTAAAACGCTTTATGCCAAGAGGGACATACTCTTTTCGCGTGTGCAGAATATAAGTGATTATATAAAGAACATTCATATAGAGGTAGTACGGGAGGCCTTTTTAAATGAAATCGAAACGATAGATAATTTGCGGACAGATTACGAAAGAATATTAGATCAAATTAATCATTCGGAACTACAAACCGACCCGAAATACATAGTGAACTACCAACCGCTGCTGGCATTCGAAGATATGTTGTGTCGCGTGAAGAGAACCGCAAAATTGCTACAATCTCAAGGTGAAGCGAAGCCTGAAATGCAGGTACGCCCTCGTGACTCAATTAGGTTACCGCCAATAGATATTCCGGTATTCAATGGTGATATTAAGACGTGGCCCTTCTTCTTCAGTAGTTTTCAAAACAATATACACAACAACCCATCGTTATCGGACGCTGAAAAATTATATTACTTAATTAGTAAACTTAGTGGCAGAGCACAATCGATATGCTCGGGTTTTACACCTACAGCAAACAATTACTTATTAATATTTGAAACGCTTAAAACTAAATATGAAGATAGGAGAATGTTAGCTTCCGAATATTTGAACCAGATATTCGATCTTAAACCTATATCATCCGCGAACATCAACGGCTTAGAGCAGTTTCTCGATAAATTTGTGGCATCGGTGGCTGCACTTAAGAATTTGAAGTTTAATGACCTCATGGACGTGGTGTTTCTCCATATAGCATTAAAGAAATTAGACTCCGACACCGTGCGTGCGTTTGAAATGGAGCATCGTAGCTCGGAGATGCCTTCCTTTCATTCATTAGCATCGTTCGTGCGAGATCAAATAAAGGTGATGCAGCGCTCACCGAACGTTAAACAGGAGATTAAAAGGTGCGTCGACCGTAGACAGACTCAACCATCTAAAATAGCAGGGTCGTTAACTTACGTAACCGCTACGCCGACATCACTCCAGCATACTTGTATAGTATGTAAAGATAAACACGGTAATTTATATAACTGTGCGACTTTTCGTAAATATTCACCAAGCGAACGTTATAAGTTAGTAAAAACAAACAACCTATGTTTGAACTGCTTAAGCGATAAGCATTTAGTTGCAAAATGCAATTCGAGTTCCGTATGTAGCAAGTGCGCCAGGAAACATCACACGCTATTACATTTTGAAAATAGCAACATAGCGGCGTCAAGTAAGGCGAATAAGGAATTCACCCCTACTAAGGTCAACGATTCTAGCGGTCGACCTGGTGATGTCGCTCTGTGCTCATTGGCAAATATGGGAGCACAACCTCCTTCAACCGTGTTACTGGGTACGGCGCGTATTTTGGTTAGGGATTCGCGTGGAAACAAACAAAGCGTCCGTGCACTGCTGGACAGCGGAGCCCAAAATAGCTTTATAACACGACAATGTTGTCAGCGCTTAGGCTTAGTAATAAATAGGTCACTTTCATGTCCTGTAGTTAAAGGCATCGGAGGTACTAGTAAAGCGACACAGGGATAAATAAATTTAAAATTTTATTCCCGGATAGATCGTAACGTTAACTTTGATATAAATGCACTAGTAGTAGATAGGGTCACTGAACGATTGCCAACCGTTTCGGTTGACACCTCGGCAATGATTGAATTTAAAAATTTGACTCTAGCAGACGACACTTACGCCGTTCCTGGAAACATAGACATGCTCATTGGGGCATCGCTTTTCCCTCATCTTTTGTTAAACAATAAGGTCAGGGGCAACTCCTCGCATACCGCGCCTTACGCACTGGAAACCGTATTGGGCTATGTGATCCTTGGCTCCGCCCCCATCCTAGATAGTATTTCGGCAGCCTCTTATTGTGGTATGGCTGTCGAACCGCTCGAGTCGTTAGTCCGCAAATTTTGGGAGATGGAGGAGGTGAACGTCCCACCCATAGCTAGTTCAGATGACAGGATATGCGAGGAAATTTACGTCCGCACGACCGTTCGTGATCGCGACGGTAGATATAGTGTAGCGCTACCCTTTAAGGGAGATGTTTTATCTCTCGGCGATTCGCGTCAAATGGCGGAAAAACGTTTCTACAGCTTGGAGCGTAGGATGCTCGCTTCGCCCCAGTTAAAGGAAGCTTACGACGGCGTCATTAACGAATATATAGGAGAAGGTTACATATCACTTGTGGCTTCGAAATTAGATAACTACGAAGACACACCGTCGTATTTTATACCACACCACGGAGTCATTAGAGAGGACAAACTTACATCTAAATTACGTGTAGTGCTCGACGCTAGTGCTAAAACTAGCACTCACCTGTCGCTTAACGATATCCTCTATAGTGGGCAAAATTTACAGGGCAGTTTATTTGATATAATAGTCAATTTTCGTTTGTTTAGTATAGCACTATCCGCCGATATTCGCCAAATGTTTCTTTGCATAGGGGTCCGTGAATGCGACCGTAGATTCCAGCGCATTTTATATCGTTTCCACCCAAAGGAACCTCTAATGGTGTTAGAATTTAACCGCGTTTGTTTTGGTTTAAAGTCGAGCCCATTTCATGCGTTACGCACGGTGAGACAGCTCGCTCACGATGAAGGTCCCTCTTATCCTAAAGCTAAGAGGGCAATTGAGAGCGGATTATATATGGATGATTTTGTGTATTCGGTCGATAGCGTGGAGGAGGCCACCCTAACCACCGCCGAGGTTATAAGGCTCATGAAATCGGGTCAATTCGATCTTGTGAAGTGGACTAGTAATTCGCGTCCGGTTTTAGATACAATCCCACTATCACACCGTCTTTCGGCGATAAAGGAATTCGACGATTCCGATACACACAAGGTGCTCGGTCTGTGTTGGTCACCAGAGTCCGACGTGTTTAGCCTTAAGGTAAATCCGCCCGTAGAGAAATGCACAAAGCGCACAATACTGTCATGCGTTGCTAGATTATGGGACGTCATGGGTTTCGTAGCTCCGGTGGTATTATACGCTAAGCTTTTGATTAAACAACTTTGGTTATTTGAATGCGATTGGGATGACTCGCCGCCTGACAGCATTGTTCGATTGTGGCAGCGCTTTAGAGAGGAACTTCCTTTACTAAGAGAAAT